TAATAGGTAAATAAATAAATAACATACACTTCGTGTGGTAGTGGTTGCGGCCACACCATTGCACCCTAGGACATCGAACCTTACAGTGAGTAAGGCCGCATTAAAATTGTTATCACCACCAAGTGTTATGAAATGAAACGTACACAGCTGTTGGTCGGGGCAGAATTTCTTATCAGTAATGATTGACATAAAATGTGACATTTTATTATCAAATTATGCTAATTAACAAGTAACTTTTAATTTGCACATTATTAGCTGAGTTAAAATGGGAGGGGTAATCATTTTAAACTGTCTGACTGTCGGTCTCAGGCTGTTTGTCTCGTTTTTGATTGTCTTCGACGTTAACGTTCATTGCGGTAATAATAAGGTTATTTGTTTCCGTTTAAAAAATAGCGAATAATTAACGCATTTACAGTAAATGACGAGGCATAACTTAATGTTCTATTCAATTTATACGTGAAGATTTAGAACACTGCTACATACATATACCGCCTGTTCGCTCACTAGTATATAGTAATCTTAGTAATATAGTATAGTAATATAGTAATTTTAGTAAACTTTGTGTTTTCTGACTTTAAATATTTCAGGTAATTGAATATTATTTCACATTATTTAATTATATTAAATTGAGAAGATGTGATCCGCATGCATACTTGCTAGTTATGTATGTCAGAGGACATTATAATTGGTTCAATGATGATACGTGGAATATTAAACAAATAGAATACAGCGAACACGTTGGCATACTTAACTGAATGTAGTTGATGTCGTATTTTAGTGGTTGTGATTGATACTTCTATCACGTGCAGACACCTATGTGATATAAATCATAATTATAGCAACATTTCCTTGAAATAATACCCGTGTGATAATTATGTATAATAATTATAATATAATTTATTATTTATTATAATTATAATAATGTATGTATATTATAAATGTATATTTGATTGAGATAATTTAGCTGGCGAAGCTCTTTGGAAAACAAAAACAAACAACTTGAAGTGTAGATAAATTAGTTGTCGAGGTATAAATATCAAATGGTCACATAATGCATTCAAAATCTTTACTATATTTCATGGTTGGCCAGGTCTTTTATTTTAAACACAACCATATAGCATGTTGCACAATTTTATGTACGTGCGCCTTCCGCTGGTTAGACCGCAGACTATTTATAAATAATTTGATCAGGGGACTTTACAATACATTTGTGTCAAGTAATTGCTTTTGGTGTCTATTAACGTACATGTTTTGAATTACAATTGCAGAGCCGAGTACAATATCACAGACTGGTCTGGTAAGTCTGTCAAACATATATCGCTTGGCACTTTAATTTAATTCGCTGCACGCCGATCTGTCGCCCCTTGGACAGCGTAGTAATCTCTCCAAGATTCAATACGTGAATATTCAGCTGCGTAGACGACCAGAGCACGCCTGTTATAATGTAGATGCGCAAATGTGTTCTTCTGCATCCACAGACATATATGGCTGTGTTTATAATTGATATTTACGGGGTATCTGTTACATGAAACAATTCGGTCTGTTGTGATCTATCATATGCCCGACTGAAGATAATCGCAAATCTAAAACAGCTAAAACATGGAGGGGGGGGGGATATATTACAACCTCACCAGTTAAGATTGGAATGCTAAGGCAGAATAAGATGAAGTTGGTGGCGCTAGCTTTTTTTTTTCCAGCTATCCGCAGGCGAACAACTAGTAGGCATACAATTTCAACTCGCGATGGCGCTGTCACTAACATTTGGATTTCTATTCTACGACGAAAATGTTGCGTAACCCGTATGAGCAAACAAATTTGCAATCAGCTGTGCACGTCGCCTGAGACACATTTTTAACATCACGCAGAGCGACGAATACTAGTATGCAATTCGTTTTGCCCACCCAGAGAACAAATCGGAATGTTTTCATCCGTTTGTTTAATGAAATGGATACAGGCTCGAGGAACCAATGCCCGGCTAGATACCTAGACCACACACACAGCTCAAAACTGTGACACCATACATAAATACATCGTCATCGACTGCCCTGACATTGAATTGCTCAAATATATAATAATAATAATATTTCTTCATAGATGCGAAGACGAAACTATGCAGGAAGTGAAAGCAAAAGATCCGTATCTTTGCCCTCTGACCCTCAACAAGGAAGAGTAGTATATCAACACCACAACGATGAACCTAAGGTCTGACTTATCTAATATATCATGTATTCAATACCATCGATTTCATTATTCGTTCTTTCTGCCCTTATGGTGGCTTCCCAGCCATCCAGTTTTCTCTCACTGATATATATATATATATATATATATATACTATGGGTTTAAAGCGGACTGGTCGTCACATGCGCACGCGCGGGAATTCAATAATCCCAAGAGACGAAAACAACGCATGCTAAAAACGCAAAGCCCCATGGGTAGACGCTTGTTTGTAAACAGCGACACGCTACGGCCGTTTGTCGCATGCGTAGGTGACGACTCCTCCGCTTTAATCGTTTGTGTTGTGTTTATAGGGATTTTAATACAACAGTGTGACGTGAGTATTTGGTTGTGACTAAGATGGAACTGTGTTTCGTTACATATTGACGTCCTTATATTTTTCTTATTCTTATTACCAAATACTTTTCATCTAAGTGCTGCTATGTCATTTAAATATTGCAAATGTCTGTAGTTGTGTTACATCTTTGCTTAAAGCGGAGTGGTCGTCACCTGCGCACGCGCTGGAATTAGGTCCCCATCGACGAAAACGTTTGCTAAAAACGCAAAGGCTCGTGGATAGACGCTTGTTTGTAAACAATGACACGCTATGGCCGTTTGCCGCATGCGCAGGTGGCTACATCCCCGCTTTAAGGTGCTACTCACCTTTTTTCGCATATGGGCAGATTTCACCACATACAGCGTGACGTTATTATGGTCAAAATTGTTTAAATCCGATATATAGTTCTATATTGAGTGCCTTCCCCCGTCGGTGCGTTTACTTTCAATCTGATTTTGGGGAAATAATAAGCATAAAATTGTATTTTAGCAGTAGACTCCATTGACCACACTGAAAACACATTGCCACGAGCAATTCTAAACATCAAGAAGTACTTTGTAAGACACTATATATCTTTTTTCACCATATGTCTCCGAGCAAAATTTTGGGATATTGGCCATAGGATATATTCTTGCCATAGGAAACAATAGTAAAATGCCCTAAAACACGTAGTTATTGTTCGATTTCTTCTGAACTGATTACGATGACTTCATTTTTTATTTCATATATCAAATATGTAAAAATAAAGAACGAATTATTGTCGTGTTTTATTGTGCTGCACGAAACATGATTTCAACTAGGTATATTGTTTTCGTCCCCCCCCCCATATTCATCCGTTACTTAAATGTTATTCTTTCTCCACTGAAGACTGGAGAAACCTCACAGAGCATGTCATATGTTGCGTTAGAAGATGTCGGTGATACGAAGAAAGGTGATCTTCCTATAAGGTAACTCTCTGCAATGTTACCGTCCTGTTCTCGTCTTGGTTGTTCTTTGATACATTCCGCCGTATCACGTACAGCTCTCCAACCTGCGATCAGCATTTTAAAACTATAAAACTGTATTTAAAACTCTGTGTTCGCACACAGGTCATACAGAGTTACTAGAAGTACGCCATATCATATTCTCTATTTGCTATGAGTTGTTTGAGATATATTTAATCAATCTATATTTAACAAAAATAACATGATGTTTACTCGTGATGTCTTTCATTTCCACTACAGGGCCGGTGATATGGTGCATGTACTTGATAAGACCAATAAGGATTGGTGGATGGTATGTTAAATCTTTCTTATCATATGAATACACCCATCCTTTCCAAACAAAAGTGATTACATTTACAGATACAATGATTAGAGCATAAATTCCATGTAATAACCAAAGACAATCAGATGTGAAAATACATTCAAATTTCTATTGTACCAAATACTATATAAAGTTAAATTTAATTCGATATAATTTATTTCACACATTAACATTTTACCATCGTTTTAGCTCCAGTCACGTTGTCGACTTCTCGTTAGCTTATCATATGAGTGATTGCCCGTCGTCGACCGCGTCAACTTTTTACTTTTTCGACTTCTTCTTGAAAACTACAAGTATGATTTCTTAGATGCTTAGTGTGTATGTAGCTCAAGTAGACTTCTCATGTATTTGTTCATTTCATGGTAATATCTTCAGTTCTATTTCTGCTATTTTTGTTAAAAAGTGATATTTTCGACTTCTTGTTGAAAACCGAAAGTCTAATTGCTTTGATATTATACATATATACGGGTACGGGTACAGGTGGACCTGTCATCTCAGATTTGTTCGTTTGGTGATGATATCTTTAATTCTATAATTTTGATGAAATTGTTTTGTCATTTTTGGTAAAAAGTGACATTTTTTACTTGTCGTTGAAAACTTCAAGTCCGATTGCTTTGATATTATACATAAATGTACTACAGGTGGATGATATCTTCAATTCACTAATTGAAATATCTCAGCCGAGAGTCTGCTTTTTTGTTTAGTTCACGGGGTCCCTGCCCTTTTAGGTTTACACATCCTCAACATAAAGGAATATAGGCTGACATTCATGTATTGTATTTCACGTAGTTCAATCATATCTGTTTTCTGACAGCGTCCGTGCCGAGTCTAACAAGTGTGAACCTTATACAGGGCATGTCGACTGTGCTAATTTGCTGGGCTGTGAAAGACCATCTGAGACGCCGAACCAACTGTCACACTCTTATCTTTCATCATCAATGTTGTTTCTGTTCTTTGACCATTATAAACAGTTCCATTCTGTGCCCTCACTGTATATTAACGAGAGCTACGTAGTCACCCCTTTTGAACATTTCAACTTTAAACACGTATTGACCGGCAACTCAGTTCAGATGACCATGGCGATGAAAAAAATGAATTCATATAACAATACGTGTGTTATTCGGTCATTTGATATCTGATGGATTTGGCTATGTACCCTAAACCTTCTGATATTAGTAATAGTGTCTTAGTTGTTTCTTTGGATACAAATCTGTCAGTAGATTTTTTATCGAGAGAAAAACTAGAACATTGTTGTTATCCGTCTGGCTTCGGGTTTCTTTATGTAGAGTTTGTTTTTGATCTTTATTTAGAATCTCGGTTGTTTCTCGTCATATTCATGTATTTTTGTGGTTCTCGTATCATGGAGTAATTATAATATGATATGTTGTGAACGCGTCAGAATCATTCATCACTTTTGGGGCCCGTTAGTGGCGTATCATGGCCCGTGATCTCGAATCAGTGTTGCGTGTTTATGTTTGTACAATGTTATGCCTGTAATTATAAAGTACTTATTGAGGGTCGAATAAGAAAGGAAAAAACAAACAAACAGATTTTCAGATTGGCGAATAGTATAATATATCACGAATATTTATAGATAATGTTTTTAACGTTTTCGTCATGATTATGCTAAATGGTACTTCGGGTGACCTGGGTCAAACAGGACAGAGTGAAACACAAATATAATTAGAATTTAACGTTACCTGATTGGTTCTCTTCAGGTCAAGAGAGAAACGGAGACCGGTTTTGTACCAGTTCAGTGTTTGGAGAAAGTACAGCCATGGGAACGAGTTCTGAGGGTTGCACGGACGTATACCGCACCTGAACACTCCGACCAGATATCGCTGAAACGTAACCAGGTATGTATTTTGTACACACTTTCATTGCATTTATTAAGCCATCCAGATGTGTTCATCTTTTGTACGAAAAAATGGAATTACGGAATTTAAGCCAGATTCAGTTTATATTAGGTTCATTTCGTAACTGTGTTTATTTCGTTCTTTGTAGGTAGTCATACAGATATCGAACGTTGACAACGGGTGGACGATCGTCAAAGCAAGTGATAAACGAACAGGAAGATTTCCGTATCAGTATCTGTCACCAATGTTACGCCGTCAAAGCACTGTCTCAACATGACCGGCAAGCTAGTTCCACCTACGGTTTATTATTTTGTGAACGTTATACGTTCAACCCCGTCGACGTGTCTGATTATTTTCGGACCAGGCGGTGATTCGGGAATAGAAAAGAAGCTTGGATTGCACGGGCTGTTGTCATCGGACGCACGCTAAGATGGGAAGTTCCACTTGAACGGTGAAGAAGTATCAGTGACTACTGTTAGTCAATAAGATGTGCGAGATGCAGCTATGCAGCAATTTGTTACATGGGTACAAGTCGAACAGAGCGTAAAATATCTTACAATGAGGCGATAAGAACATATTATGCAGGACAAGTTTATACTAACCGCCAAAAGATCATAAAAGTCACGTCATTGGTGAGAAGAACGAGATTACAAGCTGAGATTCCATTGAATCTACTGAGGCAAAACAAATATTTATAGTGACGTCATATCCGGTGTGAAAGCCTCGTGACCTCACGTTTTTCAGTATTTAACGTTTATGGTTGAATATATAAATTTATCAAATCTCTTTTTAGATTTGAATTTCTTGTTATTTATTAGGCCAGTTGAACGGGGTATAGATTACCCTTTGTATAATTATTCAGATTTTCCTTGTATGCTGTGAATCGTCACACGTGAGCAGCGACGGGGGAAGGCAATCATTATAGGACGATATATCGGATTTAAAATTGATTGTAGTGAGTTCACTGAATTTGGTTAAGTTAGTTAGAAAAGCGGTGGTATCGGTGTATATTTGACGTATATTTTCCATATATATTACCCCTTTGACGCAAGTATGTTGTTTGCGTCACGGTTTCTGGGATGTCCATCGTGGTCTCTCCAGGGGAACAGACCTCGACATTGAATCTCTTTCATGGGGATACTTTTCCGAACGGCAATAATTTTTAAGTAACAATCTTTGTTTGTATTTTATTGAGTACATATAATTAGGCAACAAATTTAACTAAAAATACAGCAAATGTAAATGACTACTGTAAATATTGTTTTTATGAATTTTTTTCTTCGGCCGATCTAGCGCTGAATGTTTTCGTGCTGGGTGTGAAATTGTTTTATATTACATGAATTTGACTTAACCTCGAAGATAATTTAAACCGACTTAATCGTCATTTGTCAGAAGCAAATTACATAGTAGCAGCGGTGTCGAGTCTCACTTTTTAATGTCGACAGGTTTCATTTTAAAAACCTATTTGAAGCCCTTACTTGGGAAGGATTTACAGACATTTTATATATTTCAAGAATACGTTTAACTGTTACAACATGAATGCTTCGGGTTTCAATTGAGTTCTGCCACGTTTGTTTAATTGATGTTCTCCACTATAAACTACCAAAATCTTCGATTTCACAAGTTCTCTGATTTGTACGGAATATGTCATGTATACACTCTTTTTTTGCAATAGACAAACACAACGACTGACTCGAAATCGATCATCTTGAATATAGATCCAATTAGTATTCAAAATGGCCGCTATCATAGGCTTGTGTGGATAAAATGAAACCACAGTTTCCACGGTTTCAAAACGAATGCAGCTCCACATCGTCGTTTTTATACACGGTATAAGTGACGACGTGGCTAAAGACAGTAACTTTTAAGGTGTTTTTTCCTTAAGTTTCATCCTTTGTGAAATTGCCGATGATTGTAACTCGTTGAAATTCCTTTTTAACGCATTTCAATATTCCGTCATGGTCTGTACTAATATCTGAACATTATAATGTATTATACACAGATTTTTCCACCAATGAATTTTAGAATATCGGACGTTGGAGTAAATCAGGCAATGTGATGTTTATTTTCACGATCCACTCGGTAATTGGCATTGACAAATTTCCAAGGAAGTGGTATTTATTTATATATTTATTTACTTGTTTATGTGTTTTATTTATTTATTATGATATATGTACTTTATTTATTTATTTATTTATTGTCAGCGACATTTCCGCAGGCAACTTCAAATACCAGCGTGTGTTAAACAGTGTGATCGCCATCTACGGAGTGAATCAGAACGAACTTTTTATTCATAGTCACTTCATTTTATCAATACTACTTCTTATTATTGTTTCTGTACGCCAAATTCAGATTTAGATTTGGGAGTGATAACATTTTTGCTGGTTTAAATCTGTTGTATTTTTTCCAAAGAATGTGAACCCATTTGTATTTTTTTTATAACAGCCATTTAGGCTATTGTGGTCCCTAATGTGGAATATGTTATTTATCATTAACACATGCAGGTTCTCTCTGATTACATGGTATCAAGCGAATTTACCAGAGATGAACCTGTTTCATCTGAAAACAGATTATTTTATTCGAATTACATTTACTTTAATGTCAGTACTGTGTCGACTCAGTGACTACTTTACCTTCTCTTTTCTTATTAAAATCATGGAATAAATGCATTGCTTTATGGAAAGGATATGGCTTAAAACGAGAGGGTCGTCACATGCGCAGGCGCGGGAATTGAGTCCCAAGCGACGATAAAAACACATGCTAAAAACGTTTATAAACAATGGCACGCTATGGCCATCTGACGCATGCGCAGGTGACGACTCCCCACTTTAACTGTAATCTCAATGAGTTCCGCAGTCTGGTCATAGAATATGCATTGAAATGGTATTGCGATTAAACTATGTAAACATTGTTTATAGTAGATCAAATCAGTATATCCCCAGTTATGGGAGCATTTACTGAATTGATATACATGTATGTGAAATATACACTACATTTCATTATCTTCAAACTAATTACCTAAAAATCACCCGACTGTGGCCAGGCTTGTGAATGGACATGGTAGTTATCATGCATTATATTACCATGCGATTAAAGCGGGAGGGTCGTCACCTGCGCACGCGCGGGAATTGAGTCCCAAGCAACGATACACGCTAACAACGCAAAGGCTAATGGGTAGACGATTGTTTGTAAACAATGAAACGCTATGGCCACCTGACGCATGCGCAGGTGACGACTCCCCCGCGTTAATCTACGTGTTGTTAGTTATGCGAGACTTGCCGTATACAGGAGAACACTTAGTAATGCATGTCAGGGCAAAGTGACTGCATATTCTAAATTTGCGTTCACATGGTTCGATTGAGTGTAACTACATTAAACATGCAAAAAAAATAATTAATGTTCAAAATTGTAAATAATTGTTTCTTTGTCTATTTTGACCAAAATCAAGTTTCTTTCTCAGAATTTGCTGAAATATACGGAGACGCGGTGATTAGTTACATTTTCTAGTCGCCATATCGCAAACTGATACTGTGAATGAGTTGATAAGCTTGGTATACGTATTCGTCTATTCGTACATTAACGTGTTAGGCTGCTTATAGCTCAGTGTATAAATAACACTTTGTTACATAACAATATATAGATAGCAATACTAAACCCCTAGTCATTATATCCAAATACGTATGCATTCCAAGATGTGAGAGGAACTGAAATGCACATGGCAAAAGTATCGTGACCATAACGTGACCACCTCGATGTTTATTATTCATCCACAACATAAATGTGTATTTACAGGAATTGAAAAGATAATACAGAAGTTAGTTCAGTTTCATAATTCCGGTATTGTAATTGTCACATCTTCCTCTCTTAATATAAATGTCTTGAAGAAAAATCTGCCAAGATTGCTCAGTGTATACATATCATGAGATGACACGGGCGTACAGAATTTAAGAACCAGTGATTTAAAGTAAAACGTATCATTATATCATGCATCGTCACCATAGTTCAGGTTGCATAACATTATCTTTTTATTTGGCCTTTGTATTTTATTCCAACGACCAGACTCGGTAACGCGATTGCGGACCGAGATTCTAAAAGTCAGATCATTTTTGGTACTTTGTTTTATACATCTCTGTACACGTTGCGGTATATTTTATATACAACTTGTAAAAATTCATAGAGTCATGTTAGCGCCCTCCAGTGGTGGTCATGTGTGATTCAATTTCTGCGTGTTAGTTGGTGAAAAGAACAATGTTTATGAACCCCCGAGCTACAAACTTTCTGAAACTTTGATCGATTCAGGGGTGCATATTTTTTTTTAAAAAAAATAGAAGAATCAAATACAGGACTAAAAACATTATTGGATATAATAACAACCAGTCATGTTTTACGTGAATGTCCGCTCCAAACAGGGGGCACTTTTATATGATGAAAATGTAAATGACAACGCAAAGCGCGGAACAATGTTGGTAATCCGATTTTTACTCTTAACTATGAACAATTGGTCATTCATCTCACGAATGGTACAGTTGGTGGCAATATTACTAACAGGAGTTAGATTCAACTGACTCTAAGAGAGTTTGAATGTTCGTTGTCACGACAACCGCCATGGATACAGACCGCTACATGTGACTGACATATACGTTCATAGTGATACTGACATCGATACAGTCAGCTGTACACGTTGGCCATACCGCGAAACTGAGAATAAAATTATTATTATATTCGATTGGGGAAAAGAGAAAAAACACCGCCTTTATTTCATTCCAATGCTACGCGTGTATTGGTGGTTCTACGTAGAATATAAGTAATCAGAATCACATTAGCAACAGTCGATGGAGTAATTGCTCCATTGTGATCCAGTTAAGAGTATAGAAAATGTAAATACCATAGGGATCAAGTAGTTGAATAGATCATCAACGTCAGGTCTGGCACACCGTCAGGGAATATTGGTTCGCTATTACATATCATGTATACTTGAAAGACGATGTGGAAAGGAGGTCGTCGTGTCCACGTTATAAAACAGACATGTCTCCATTCTTGAAGTCATATACACGGGTTTGAGGTCAGTGTTTGTGTTTATTCATGTCAGGTATGAGACATGGACGTTAAAATTACTACTCAATATCTTGTAATATAACTAAAACGCAAATGGCAGCTGGGATTTCGTTGGGAGCGAGAGAGGCAACACATTGGTTTGCCTTCAAATAGGTTTCATTGTCTACCGTCCCGTGTCTATTGTTCCCATAATCTACGTAATCTAGTATTTAAAACACTTGACGCACTTAAGAGATGAAAAATATATCTTTATCTGTGCTGCGATATTTCCAATTAGACCCATTATCTTCTTAATACAGTTGACATTTTTATAATTAATTGCATATAATATTCATGCTCCGAAGTGTGTTTTAATTTCATCTTAGGTGGCACGATGTGATTTGTACTCGGCGTAAAATAATTTGTATACACTGTAGTATATCTGCACACATAAGTGTCATGGTACGCAGGTGTCAAGTTACATTTGTCAATTCATTCCAGTGTTTGCGTTGACCGATTTGATTGGACATGAGCAGTGTAACCATACGACCATTTGCCTAAACTTAGATAAATTATGTCGTTTTCTATTTAAGCGGGAGAGTCGTCACATGCGCAGTAGTCCTGCGTACAGTGCTGTGTGTACAGGGACGCGTTCGGTTGATAGATGTCCCCACCACAGCCCTGCGAACTTCCATAGACAAAGTTCGGGACTTTGAAAAATATAACTTTTTTTTAATGAAATAACATGCCCAGGTACCAAAAATGATGATCGATTACCAGATATATCCAGAACTCCCAGTTCGGAGTCCAATTGTGGATGAAATCGGCTACTTTGCCCTAAAAACAAACGCATTCTCTCGCGTGAATGAAATTAAAAATGGCGGCGTTTGGTGGATAATTCCTCCGGTACCTACGCGTTTACAATTTGACCGTCTTTACTAGTTGTTATTTAAAAACATTTCAGTTTCAGATAACTTTGTAATGGTTGTTACGGATAACTATCGTCATTTCAAAAGATTTCGGCTGGGAAACTACTTATTTTTAACTTGCGCACCAACGTAATTGCAATATTTTTTTGTTCGTACAACGTAAATAGAAAAAATAAATTCCGTAATTCTGTAATCACAGGCTAGACGTACAACGTAATCAATCAAATATTTTGTTCGTACTCTGTAAAAATGTGTCATTTTTCTCGTACGTACAAAAAATCACATCCAAATAAAAAAATCGTAAAGAATAATCCAGGGAAATTACATTTTAGAAACTGTAAAACGACTAGATGACACAATTCACTACAAAATTGAATGTCAAGACGTAAAAGGCCCTCTAGCCGAATGAAGAGCATTACGAGGGTAATATGCGCATGCGTCTCTTCACACGGCGCAGCAATGGCGGAGGATTTGAGTAGGAGAGCTCTTCGGACCATTCAATGTTCCATTTGTTAACACTGTAAACTGTAAAAACGTCTTTTTTTCTTTGTAAATTGTGAAAAGCCCTTTTTATTTCCCGTAAAACCGTACCAGCTACCCCCCTTGCCTCCCCTCATTATGGTGCGCTCCCGGACTTTGTCTATGGAAGTACGCAGGGCTGTACGGTGGGGACATCTATCAACCGAACGCGTCCCAGTACACACAGCACTGTACGCAGGACTACTGCGCATGTGGCAAACGGCCATAGCATGTCGTTGTTTACAAACAAGCGTCTACCCATGAGCCTTTGCGTTTTTAGCGTGCGTTGTTATCGTCGCTCGGGACGCGCGTGCGCAGGTGACGACCCTTCCGCTTTGAAACATAAAACGCGCCCAGTACAGTTTATTCGTCCACCACGTAGATACATTACATTCGATATTTCGCAGGACAATATCATCTACGCGTGGGATTTACTTATAAAATGGGTCGCATAGCGCCGTTGTCGCAGCAGTCGTCGCAATTTTGAGCTCGCATTTCGGTTATAATTAAATCGATCGACTTACTAGCTTAATTTACATACTATTGCATTCTGCGTAATTACTCTGTCTCAATTAAAAAAAAGTCACGACATTATCACGGATGCACAAATGCGCCTAGTTTTGTTCTAGCGTAATGTTATGATTGTCTGTGAAGTAGAACCTATCGCAAAGTCTCACCTGCTAGTAGATAACTAACTGCAGACATCATTTAATACTTAATTGACTATATCGACATTCCGTCTCTTAAGATACATACCGGAGCTGCCCTCAATAGTATGATAGAAATATGAATCTAAAAGTAACTGTCAGTATGTATTTTGAGATAGGCAAATCACCTTCAAAAGATATGACGACAAGGCTACACACTAGGTAATAGTACTAAGTGCAGTCCTGCTCATAGGGTTAATCAGCACGATAAGGGCATTGCAGATTGTACAGCTTATCCACTTCAAACATCCTTCGGTCTTCGGTTAGAATTAAAAAAAAAATGGTGATATTAGATATACTAGTAGTCTCGAATAAAAAACAACCCCCCTCCAAAAAAAAAAAAAACAACAACAAGAAAAACGTGTGTTTCCTGTCAAGTGGAACCTCGGGTTCTCAATACTCCTTGTAATTAATGATTTATTGTTTGTATTTAACTAGTACGATGTAACCTGCTCGTAAACTGTGTATTATTCAACGTAGTTCGATTACAGCAGTTTACTGCGGGCGGCGAATTACAACATATCATGCGAGCGAGTACGCAATTACGTCCAATAAAACGCAATTAAGGTATAATGAGCGGTACATTCTGCTCATCAATCTATATGCTTTCCGAGTTGTCTTTATCTTAACATTTAACATTAACGTCTCTTCTGGAAAATATAATGAAAGAAAACTGCGTCGACTCGTTTTTAGTCTGGGTGCCATAAAACATGAATACGGCTTGCGTGAGTTGTATTGGCTGGAAATGAAAATATCGAGTTTTAACGAAAACGCCCTTAGGAAAACTTGGAACACTTTTTAACAAACCACGGCCCTGGTAGGCGTATATTACATTACGTAATTTCGTGGAACATATATCATCACTGATCAAGAATAAAACGCAAATTTTAAAATAATATGGCAAGGAAACGTCGTAATACCTTTCAGTTTTCATTACTACATGTTCACACCCTGTTTCATAGACACCTTAGAATAGATATTATTTGCATAATCACATGGGAAGTAAACAACTATATCGCCGCAAATGTATTTAAAAATGTGTTTATGGGGACACAGCTATGGTATCACCAACGCTAAGGTGGGACTTATATCGTAGATTTATTCCGTGTTCAACTCAACCACTCGTGACAATTGTTTGTTTGTTTATGAAAAGGCACTCAAGCAAAATAAGTACTATGATTTCCACAATAGTGTACAAACATTCTATGAATAGATTACAAATATAAACTACTCGACAAGGTACCGTATGTGAATGAATGAGAGAGGGAAGGGAGGAAGGGAAGAAGGGAGAACGGAGAGAAAGGGGGTAGATGACATTATACCTAGCCGTACCATAAATTAAAAAAATCTCAATTAAAATTAAAATATCTTCCCCGGAAAGTTATTTAGCACATTCCTTAATATGATATCCGACGATGAAACGAGCTAACTATATTTCAAACACAGACCGTCCTTAGGCACAATAACTATGACGATAGTGGCTGATTGGAAGTATTCACCCGTCACGTAATGAGGTCAAACACGCATTGCTGATTGGTCAAATGGGATTCAGTTGCCGTGAGGCAGTTTATATTCAAATTAATAAAAAGTAACCGCAAGTATAATTACAAACTCATTCACAAATTCTTGTGTCATTCGTGCGTTATGTTATTCGTCTCGTCACCGCTATGAATGAGTCTTCCGAACTTCAATTGCCCTGGCCACGTGATTTCGCACCATAGATGCACTACAATCATATCGCAGTTAAAACACAATAATGTAGGATCTCTTTAATTTGGAAACATTGCAAATTATAGCGTGCAAATTGTAGAAAAAAAATGCCGCATTAATGTCAGAATTTAGTTTGACAAATTGTCAAAGTGACCGAACCATTACTATTGCCGTCACTTACAGAATTGCGCATGTACCCAGAACACACGGGAGGCTCCTTTCACTTCATACTAATGGAACCGATGAGTTGGATGCCAGCGAGGTGTCATGTTTGACCAAATAGTATATTGTTAAATGCAAAAGAGCAAGAACCTGTCTCAATGGGAAACAATTAACAAACACAGTGAATGCTACCTTTCTGGCCCGATGGGTGTTGATATTTGATCGCAAAATTGATCTGTTTATGCTATATATTCAAGTTGTTCATCTATTTGCGTTACGTGTTCTGGTAGAATCCTGTCAGAGCAGTATACGACAGTAGATAGAATAATGCGATGAGTAGGTATTATGATCGACTCCAGATGCGCAAGCTCACCCGTTCACTGTACGTATCTATGATAATATATTCGTAATATAACAAGACTGCATCTGCACATGCGCGAGAGACGAAACATTGACTACGTCTGATTCGTGTTCTTTTAGACGAGCTTTCAAGCCGAATGATGTTGGGCTACTCAGATGGTGAATATTATACATATATACCCACAGTGAAACTCTGTTGTTATTTGTTGAACTTCAGTTGCTTTCCCGTGTTCTGTACGATACAAGGTCACCAGGGTACGTAGGGCGCCTTAGTAATTTTATATTACTGTTTATGATTTTTTAGCATAAACCTAAAGCGTCTAATTTCAGCTCACGAGCTCCGCCAAACTAAGCGTGACGACGCATCGCTGGGTGGCTCGCTGATTTCCAACATAGTTTAAGATGTACAGCGATCTGCAAAACCTTACCGAGTATAAAGTGGTGTTACAGTAGATCCATACCAGGTCCATCCATACCTTGTTAAAAGTTGCTCGTAGTGACCGATATGATTACACAAGAGACAAGGTGAACTTCCCATCAACCTTTATGAGTCTATTAAGGAGTGACGAAAAGCCATAACTCTTGATCTCGCGGATTATTTACTGAATTTTACGTTTATCTGTTTCTTTTTACTCAGTTCACTGGAGATGAATGAAAACAAACGCAAGGAATACACCTAGTCTAGTTGATATTATTGTGAGACATATAGTCTTCTCTCAATTTTTTATTGCTTGAAACAAAGATTCAAGGTATGTATACATTTTGCTCGTGTGCTGAGCTGAGCCACAGCTCGATATCTCAAAATCAGTTGCTCTACCTGTCAGCATACACCTAAATTTAATATTAAAAATGTCGTACCCAAGGCTATCTATTAACCGAATTGATGTAGGATAACACGAAAGCAAAATTGTTCAGGTGCTCGCGTTTTACAAGAATAAAAATCGATTTAATTTTAAGTAACATTATTATGTAGGATAATTGCGTAGTTTTTTTCCTGTGGTTATTAATCAAGCTTGATGCAATTTTCAATGATTTTGTAGACAAATTCTAGTATGCCCAGGGCCATGACATTTAACAGTCTCATCGTGCTGGGGTAGACATTGTAGAAATGTACATTGACATAGGCAGTAAATCATGTCACTGACATTAAACAGAGTTCTTTTATTGGGTGTTAAACCATTCGTAGAACCCAGCTAAGTGCAGGCTGTTAATTACAAATTATGTCCCGTACTCTCTAAAGCGCCAGGACTTAAAAGAAAATTATAATGTCCGAAGCCGGATTCAAACTCATTTTACGATATCGAATTTATACTGATCCTATCAGTTCAGATAAGTGACATTTTGTTGGATAATAACAGTCGTACAATATAAATACATCCTGTTTCGGAAAATATCGCGTTGGATTTTTATCTTGGGCTTAGTCATGTATTCTGTCCTAATCCTACACGACGAGGACGAATTCATTTCATAAATCGCGTTACGTGGGAAGAACGCTAAGCACTGATAATATTACAGAGACTCTTATTTTGTGTGTAAACGGGAAAATTACTATTTACTGGAAAATATTAATCTGATAAAGCGAAATAACCTCTATTTTTCTGCCGTAGTGAGCCCAACTTGAAGCAAATACATATCTACATGCAAGGTTAGCGATAAACTTAAAGAACCACATTCGCCGCGAAATTTCGAATTTTGCGTTTGAATTT